GCCCCGTCCTGCTCGTGCTCCTTGCGAAGGACTAGGCAAAAATTATTCTCTGAAGTCATTCAAGATGAGGAATTAAAATATAACCACTACTTTTCTGGAACGTTTTTACAAAAATTTCAAATTATTATTTTCTAATCTTCCAAATCTGTCAAAATACAAAAAAGACAGGAGACCTTGACAGGTCTCAGTTTTTCGGTCAAAAGTAGGGTTTTTTATTAGCTAAAATGTTAAGATTAAAATAGAACTTTGGAAACACCACTGAAGCTGTTCCCTCTCTGGGTGCGTACGCAAGGGCAGGCACGCCGCTGCAGACGGGGGTGCTTTTTAAGCCAGAACGCGGGGTGGGCACAGGGTTACCTGTGCAGAAATTCAGCTGGGAAGTGAGAAGACTTTGGCTCTCAGTGGAGGCAAAACAAGAGCAGCTTCCCAACAGGGTCTGCCGAGGTGGGGAGGGGAAAGTGGCAGGAGGAGATCTGAGTAGCTTGAAAATGAAGGTCATAAATTTCATAAATGGGATTTCACAACCTGTTTGTCGTGATAGCGAAAGCTGGACTCTGTGATGCACAATTTCTCCTCTTGTCATATGTTTTTGTGCTGGTTGTAAGCAACCAACTGACCTGTTGGACTTGGTCATGCTACTGACTGTTTACTAATGTGTAAGCTAGTGATTTTGTTATCCTTTATTGCTCTCTATACAAGGGTGACCTCGGTGTTGGCTGTGACCAAGGCTTTTATCTCAGGATCTCAAACTCGTTCTCTCTGTGGTGAAAACCCTGCAGTCACCATATTACTAATTTTTAATATTCGGCCAAACTGCAACAGGAATCCAGTGGTTAACTTCGCAGCGCTAGCCTGTGGCTGGTGATGGATGGCTGGCGCTGCATCGTAGCAACCCCAGGCACCCACCCAGAGCTCCGCGGTCCCCGACCGCTGCCCCAGCCCACCCAGCCGGAGGGGTTCATTGCTCGTACAGAAGGGCCAAGCCTTGCAAAGGGTGCGGGTGTGGACCGCGGGTTTGGGGCTGGAAAAGCGATGTAGTGAGCAGCCTTCATCCGGCACGGGCACGCGTGTGCTGCTGCTGCCGGGGGCTGCGAGGGGCACGCTGCGAGGCGGGGGTGGGCTCTGCGCTCTCTGGTGACGTTCTGAAGGATTGGATTGAACCTACTTTCTGGTGAAATCCAGGACAAATGTACACACAACACGATGTAATGCTAGTGTGGGCAATTGCTCTGACGTTAAAAAAGAAAAAAAAAAAAAG